GATTCCGATCTTTTGAAAATCACGTGATCGGCTCCGATCCCTGATCACGTGATCGGATCGGGACATCTCTATTTACAATAGCTGCAACCACGTACGTGTGCATGCATTTACACTTAGAATCTTAGAATGGGAGGGATGAAACCCCTCTTTAATGGTCACACATGCAGAGCACACAGCAGCACACACAGTGAAATTTGGCCTCTGCATTTAACCCATCCTAGTGCCAGGAGTCTAGTATTATAGGAGCAGTGGGCAGCTATTGTACAGCAGCGCCCGGGGAGCAATGGGAGTGGGGGGGAAGGGGGGTGTCCGGTGCCTTGCTCAAGGGCACCACGGCAGGGCCCAGGAAGTGAACTGGGACCTCTCCAAGTAGAAGTCCACTCTCCATATTTAGGTCTGTTCGGGGACTTGAACCGGAAACCCTGCGGCTCACAGTCCAAGCCCCTACTGACTGAGCCACTGCCACTTGACCTCTGTGCAAATTTTAGCCTAGGAGGTCAAAGTCTTCGGCCACCAAAGAGTAGAGAAATGTCCATGGACTGACGATTAGAGCGAGCTACAGTAGTGGTGGTGGTCAAAATAAAACAAAATAGGCCTAAAAATGTAATAGACAATTTTCAAACAGTAATGTTTGAACTTTGACACAAAATCATAACTGTAAATTCATCATTACAGTAGTTTTCCAGTTAAGCCTTATCAGCGAGAGAGAATGAAAAAGACATGGAACTGGTTTAACTGCATGAAATGTGTTTTGAATGTAAAGTATATTTTGATAAAGCAGCTAATAAAGACAGAAAGCTGTCCGAAACACAGAGCCTATGCTTGATGTTGCAAAAAAATGCTCACACGCTGTCTCATTTGGTGCATATATCCTGCAGCTCTGGTGCAGTCTCTGAGCTTCAAGTCCCTCTTGATTGTCTGCCTCTCAGAGAAGGGAGACGTCTCATCTCAAACCGGGAGAAAACATCCGGATCAATTCACACAAGCTGTTGCACTCTGGAGCCCAAATACCTCATGATACATCTAGAAAATCCCCTTTCTTCACAATATGACACCTTGCCTGCCATCTCCTCTGGGCTGATCAGTAACCATAACCAAACGCGAAGCAAAGTGCTAAAAAACAGTGTGTCAAAACAATCCTATTTAGAAACTGTTTCTTGCATTTTCTGCTCAAAATATCCAACATCCTGCAACTTATTTTCTCACAAGGAAGAAATCTATGTGAAACATGAAAAAAAGATTACATTTTAAGTGGCAGGACACACACGCACGCACACGCACACGCACACGCACACGCACACACACACACACACACACACACACACACACACACACACACACACACACACACACACACACACACACACACACACACACAGGGATCGAGTTGCTGTCAAACCAGATTTTCTAAATAAGACAGCCAGCCAGTGGTTGTCATATAGGACTAGGTGACTGTTGTTTGAAGCTATTTGGATGCTGCTCACATGTCATTTACATCACACACCCTCCTGTCATTTTCTGTTCGCAGCACATCTTCATTTGTGTGTGTGTAAGGGCTGTCTTTCTGATATCCCATCATCCCAAATAATCATCCCATAGTCATGCGTGAGATGCGATTTCCTTTAAACAATAGCTGGCCATCTCGCCTCGATGACCCACAATCTCTCAGGCTGCAGCAGAACAAACACTTGCACGCACACACAAACACACACACGTCCTCTTAGCTTGCGTTAACAGCTACAAATACACATTTTAAAATACCCACACAGCCTGCACGGCTCAGCCTCCATCGGGGCAGTGGTGATGACACTGTCCCTTTATGTTGCTGTTCATTTAACTGCCTTCAAAGCAGACTTTAATAACTGGGGCCAAGTGCATATCAGCGCTGCTGTTTTTGGCCTGACTGGAAAGCAGGCAAGGCACAAACTAATGCTAATGATTTCCCTGCCAACAGAAAAGAAGGGACGTGATTGTGAATGCTCCAGACCTGTCTTTAACATAAATGATAGTAATTTGGTGGAAAATAATACATGCAGAGTTTGGTTGGCCTACTTTGAGTGCCATAGATAATTCAGCTGGCTCCTGCCCTGCAAGCCAAACACAATCCATCACAGCAGTAGGCTGCCCGTTCACATTTTGGGGATATGAATCCCAATTTCCATCACAAAACGATATGATGCAGATTCACTGTGTGAAAATCTTATTGCTGATATCACAGTCTGCCACAATACGATTTGGTTTAATTCATTCACTTTTAACAATAAGTTGCAATTATGTGAACTCATAAAAAAGCTACTACAATCGATTGAACAACCAGAACCTGTTTATTTTTAATTCTGCACCCAATTCGATTTTAATCATCCAATTTCTTTAATCAATGGCTGGTAATGTATGCTATTCTTATTGAAGTGTTGCTCAGAGGTAGCCTATGTTTTTTTTTTTCTGCACATTTAGTTTCTTTGCAACCCATTCATACCAAATATCCTCCATTATATAGAGCCCCTTTTCACAGCCTCAAGGAATAAAAGACTGTTCAAACATGTAGAGTGGCCCTCTCAGCCATCTGACTGTACCAAATTAAGCTTTTGTGGCAAGCAAATCCATACTTTTAAATGTTAAAGTAGATTCAGTGATAACCCTTAATCAGCTTTCACTCTCACACAGGACTTACATATTAAACTAACAACATGTAGGTCATTACATTTTAACATTGCTGACAGGGAAGGTGAATCTTGTAGTGAATCCCTGGTCGCTTCACAGTCCTCAATTACCCACATTTAGGCATTAATGTTACTAATTTCAGCTGAGCTTCGTGGGAGGATATGCCTCGCTCAAAGAGAGGTGGTTGAATGATTGCCATTCATTTTAGAAACCCAAACATTAAGCGAAAGGATGCTCCTATGAAAGGAAAACATTTGTATATTCACAGTAAGGCTTATAGCATCTTGGCAAAATGTGAGCACTCTAGGGCTAAAACAGCAACAAATCACTGTTCCCCAAAGCGGATGAGGTAGAGATGACAAACTTGGATGCAGAAAACCTCAAAAGATAAAATCAATGACTTATGTAATATTTCATCTTTACATTTAAATCTTAAAAGCCCATTAAACAATTTCTCAGTATAGTTTGGCATGAAGTGTCAGTATCTCTAGAAGCTGTAATCGACACTCTTATGATTCTGCTGAACGTATTTGATTGCATCTTCAGGCTACTAAACTTAAGAAAAATGTATAGCCTATGTGAAAACTAAGGATCAGATATCAGAAAGAAAATATATTATTCACAGCTGAAGTTCTATCTGACTTTATATCACAGCAGCCTGACTAGCCTCTGATAAAAGTAGACTGGTGTGATGGACGTAAGTGATCCCAGGAGAGGGAATCATAAAACATCCACCAGTCAGACACAGTGCAGGAGAAGGGCTGCAGACAGGAGCTGTAATGCTGCTCCAGAAACATGTTCCTAAAGCCTATCTTGGGATATTACGGATCAAACTAGGGTGTCATGCCTCTTTTGCTTCTGTCATTTGTGACCTCTTTGGCAGCAGTTAATGAGATAGTCAGTTAGCTGAAGGGAGCAATATGCTGGGTGGATCTACAGAGAAGGATCATACGGCACATCAGGCGGCAAAGCGGCAGTAAAGAGGCCCCTCAATCAAACACTTATCCCACCTCCCCTATAGATAAGTGATGGATAGCTGCAGGGGGGGCATTTTCTTTCAAGGTCAACCAATCAGATACTGGGCAGTAAGAGCTATTAGTCAAGTAGAAAGCCCTTTTCAAATTCAGTGTGAGTTGGTATTATTACAATAAAGTTGTCCACTATGTGTCTGTCGACAACGAGGGAAGCGAGGATGGACTTCATATTGGAACGTATCCCATAGACGGAACTGCTCTTTCTACCCGGAGCTGTTCCTCCACTGCACTGCTCACCCAGTGACAGCTCCAGGCAGAGATGTTATCCGCTATCCGTTGTTATTTTCTACCAATTATCAAACTTTACCTGCTTGCTTTGAAGGTCCTGCTGGTTCAGCTGCTCAGCAGACCTTTCAGGCTGCCAGGTGCGTTTAACTCTCGATACGTTGTTGTGGTGCACTTCCGCTGAATAGTGTCACACTCCGTAACGGGGCAACCTTTAGTCCTCAGAGTCATGAACGTTAGATAGCTGTTAGTGACTGCCTTTGTTATTTAAATATTACACGAAGGCAATTGAGCGTGCTAGGCTAACGTTAACGTAATGTTAGCAGTGTTAACGTTAGCTAACATTAGTTGGAGAGAAGTAGCAACATGAGTCAAATGAAAGGTTGTCTTGTTTGTTATGTTTGCCGAATTCACCAGAAGAGTTTAACAGTTCATACTTTTCTCAAATAATGTATTTTAAAGTGTTTGCATTTGTCGCAAATTGATATTGGTTTAATCTCCACTTTTTACAACAAAGTTTGGTAAACAGATACAGAACGTGTCTTTGCTACAGGTAGATAAAAAACGCTTGACTGACAGTACACAACTGATTATTAACCAATGAAATACAGTAGATATTGCTAAAAGAAAAGTTCAATCATTTAGTTTGAATGTAATTGGAAACTATTTGTGTTGTTTTAATTAAGAGGTTTATTTATTTACGCTGGGTCAGAAGTAAGACATGCACAACAAATCACTTGTGTTTTGATTTATATAAATTACTATCAACTTTGGTTCAAAGTTGACCAGTGTACATTTGCAAAAAAGCTTTATTTATCCATGCTCATCATTACACGAAACAAACTTGTTTATGTATTGTCTGCACATGGCCTGAAAAAAAGAATGTGTCTCATTTAAAGCTTACTGTAATTTGTATTACAAAAACAGAGTTTAAGTACCACAGTGAAACTTTAAGACACAAAGTTATTTGGGAAAGTGAAGGAAAATTGCGCCATAGAATGTAAAAACCAAGATAAAGTCCATCTGAAATTTACAGACCATCTAAAAGTCTTACTACAAGGACTCCTCATATCTTGAAATAGTGGCCTGTCTTGAAGCAGCATCCTTATCAAATGACATTCTTACTGATATCTGTGTGTCCTCTTCTGCTTCTGCCAGTGATGCCCAGACAAGATGGCAAGGTTGCCATAGTGACAGGAGGAGACAGGGGAATCGGCTATGAGGTAGTCCGTCACATGGCCAGGCTGGGGGCGCATGTTATCATAGGTACAGTATCAAGCTCTGCACCAATGACACGCAACCAAGACACTCAAACCCATGTTATTTAAAGAGGTTGGCAAGCACATCAATAATAATTATAATAATAACCTTCATATTTGTTGTGCCTTTCAAAACTATAATGTGCAATTTCACACACCAGGCTGGACGCTGTGACAAAATAATTTTTAAATTTGTGTCGCATGATAAATGAAATAATCCCCATAGAGGGCAAATTGTGTCCTGGTCAGAATCACCTGTGAATAGCTGCAAACATGACAAAATAATCTGTCAAAGCACTTTCACGCAGGCGCGGAACTGATGGAAGAATTAAGCCTTGTCTCATCACAGATAATGGCGCCACAATCACCGCTAAACAGTCCGAGATTAGTTTCGCCCAGTGCAGCAGCACTAATGCAGGGAGAGTTGAAAAGGCTGTCATCGTAGAGTAGAGGACAGCTAACTGATGGCATGACTTTCAAGGTTACACAAAGTAAGGTAACATAACAACACCTTGAGGAGATTTTGCAATCATTATTGAAAAACCTTTTCAAAATAACTTCACTAACACGGATACAACTATTTGTATTGTTACTGTTGTTATCTTTACATTATTTTCTACATGAACATGGATGACAGTGAAGTCACTGGAAATCTTGGTTTCAGATATCTCATATTTTGGATGATAATAATATAACTTGTCTCAGTGACTGGATTCCAAAAAGGTTGAGAGAGAAAACACAAAGCATATGAATCTTTTGGTAATGATGGATTTGAATCAAAATCAATTTTGGATTCAGGACGTGGGGTGCTTATTTCAAGATCTGCTCCAGTTAACCTCGGTGTGGCAAATGATGGCATAACAACAGGTGTGTGTGTGAGTTTAAAACGTAGGAGTTTGCATATTCAAATCATGTATATCAACTAGGGCCGGGACTCGATTAAAAAAATTAATCTAATTAATTACAGGCTTTGTAATTAATTAATCGCAATTAATCGCATTTTTAATCACATATAAATATTTGACCTGAGAACAGTGAGAAGCAATTTTTTTCACATGGATTTTAGTATACCATTGAATAATGACTGAATACATAAGCTTAAGCAACAAAACATTGTTTATTTTTTTTCAAGGTGGTACTTAACCAAGACCAACAGAAAAGTGCAATTTTTGCCATAAAGTTTAGCAATAGCATATTTAGGAATATAGTACATTTCAGAGATTCAGGTAGCCTATAGGTAGGTAGACCTTCTGTAAACTATAACACTTTGTTTTTTAAGTATAACACAATACTTTCAAGTACATTCAGAACATTGGAAACCCTGACTATTAGAAAACATCTCTCTGTTGCTTCAGAGGCCATAACAGACTTTGTTGAATTACCAACAGTTGATTTAAAAAATCTAATAAATTTCAGTCCAACTCTCTCAATAACCTTGGCCAAAACAATAAACAGTTCAACATAAAGTGCCAGTTGCACCAACAACATAATAAATAGTTCAACATAAAGTGTACTGTACCATTTAAAATAAAATAAAAAAGTGCCAGTGATTGACCTCAATCCCTCCTATTCTTCCAATATCCTGATGAAAAATAAAATCTCTCTGTTGCATAGGCCACTGTTTGATCAACGCGAATGTGGTGATATGCAAATTCCTTTTTGCATAATTTGCAAACAACCGTGCTCTTATCGATGCTTCCATCCGTCCGTTTTTTAAAACAAAATGTCCCATCCACGGGGCCAACCAAAGCGGTCTCATCCGCTTGTTCGTTCACGTTTGACTATTGTTCACTGTGGTTTGTTGTTGTTTGAAGTCATGAACGTTAATTGGTGCTCCAGTATAATCGGTACCCCTGAAACTCATCCAGTGAGAAACGTTCCGCGGTGCAAAAATAAGTGCGATTAAAATGCGTTAATTTTTGTGTAATTAATTAATCTTAATTAACGCGTTAAAGTCCCGGCCCTAATATCAACTGATTGCAATAATGTCAAATTATAGTGGGCAAATTTAAGACTAAAGGTTATATTTACTTGCCAATTTTAAAAATACATTTCACGTAAAATAAACTGATATTTTGTGGAATCTTTTTAATAAAACCACACATTAATGTTGCATCAGTAGCAATGTCTGTGTTATTTGGAAGACATTTGTTGTGTATCCATTCAGATATGAATCATGATTCTGTCATGAATTAATATATTTCCCCAACTTTAGACAATACAGTTAATCTCCTAGCAGAATAGAGTGATGTCCATGTCAGTTAGTTTACTGAGCTTCTATGCTACAGATGTATGATTTTATAATAAAGTCATCTGTATTGTTATGTGAACAAAACCACAGCCCTGCAGTGCCAATCATATTTAAGGAATGCTCTGTGTGTGCCTCCCTAAAGTCGCTGTCAGAGGTCCCTTATTAGTATCAGACGGTCACCAACTCATCAGATGCCTCTTGACACCCCGCTGATCCGTCTTAAGGCTTTGGAACAACATAAAAACAGTTTGTTTTCATAATTTAAAAATATGTGCTATGCTCCACCGTGAGATGATGTAATGTCCTTCTGAGCTCTGCTGGGATTAAAAGACTTTTATCAAAACATTTGGTAAATGCAAATGTACCATTATGCAGGGCCGTTTTGCATATTGTTCCATTTACTGGTAATAGCTGATGTCTGCAGATAATTGGAATATACCCATGTTTTATAAAGTGTGGCTGGTTTATGCCTCATGCCATGATTCTTTTAGTATTGAAACTCCATAATTTTACTGTGCAGACACACAAATACATTGTAAATAATAAATACAAAGTCTTAGTAAAAACAGTTGACATCAACAGTATGTATTCAGCATGTATCTATACTCTTCCTTCCTTGAACTGCCATCAATCAGAATGAGAAACCAGTTTATTACCAGGTAGGTTGAGACGTACGAGGAATTTGACTTGATGTCATGGTGCATAAATGAAAGTAAAACAAAAATACAGATGGAGTACTTATTTACCAAGAAGATGTACTCCTCTACTCACTCATCATGTATCCCAGGAGCCCCTTGCTGAAATATGTTAACCACATCACCTCTAATGTCTTCCTTGACTCTTTGCTCAGTGCAGTTCAATGCTTCACCAGTGACTGACTGTGCAGCTCCTTCACACTTTTCAGCAGTGTGTTGAGCCCTCTGACTCTTGGGTCTGAAGTGAATTGCTTGGTGCACATTGATGAATGCAAATAGGCCTCTTTTTGATGTGATTTGGATAAATGTTTTTCTCTAAAAACGATTTGCCGTCATATCTCAGCTTGCTATTGATAAGATGAGTATTACAGTCTCTTGCTTTAAAATGGTTTTGTATTCTTGGCTTGATGTCTCAATTTGCCTGTGAGGTACAGCAAGGACGTTTCCGTGGAGCAGTAATCAATGTTGATAGATGTGCAAGAGGCTCCGTTTAGATTCACATGTTAGATCTGTAGGCATTTGTTATGTTGTGTTGCAAATACAAAATATAAAGCATTATGTCCGAGATAATTATGGCAGAAACGTGTTCTTCAGGGCTGCATGTAAGTGGACATGCAGTGGGGATGTTTGAAGGAGAGTGCATGCCTTTTTCTATAGTTTTTTCACTTGGGGGCTAGTGCATAGTGTGCTTCTGTAACCTACTGTTACACAAAAACCTTTCTCTTTGTAAATAAACAGTAATGCAAGCCTGATTCTAGTTTCAGGGATAATATATTCAGTGGTTACTAAATAAGAAGCTTGAAACCTAAAGTTCTTGCATTTCATAACTGACACAGTTTTGGGCTCTGGTGATTACAGTCATGAGCAAGTCAGAAAAATACATGTCACATAGACCTACTCAGCTACTCCGATGCAGAAGGTGTAATCTTGCCTTCAGAAGTCAAGGATTTTCCGCTTTTTCAGACAACCCTTACTACATTTCTGAGCCAAAATCTCAAACATTTCTGAGTGCTTCTTTTTATTCATTTCATTCAGCTATTAGTTACTAAATGATAGGAAACAAGTGCAGAGTTGCAGTGACATGCACCGAAGGTCCACTCTTAGAGACTCTAGCCCACTTCAACTCATAAGTGTGTATATTTGAATGCATGTAAATATAAGTCACAATCTGAGGAAAAAGCAAACAAACACTGATTACATTGACAACCATTATGCTAAAGATCTGTTAAAGTGAAAGGCCCTTTATATTTTGCCTGACAGCATCTGAATCTGTTTATATCCTGATCCGTTTCATCTGTAGATTTCTTTGTGGTAGAGACACACAAGTGGTAGGATGGCTTCCTGTTGAATTGTTTCTATTGTCGTGCTTTGTTCTTTTGTCTGGAGGGTTTGGCTGGGGATTTATGTTTTGAGGAAATGCATTTTTCCTTTTCATCTAAGATACCTCCCAGCAACACTCTGCAACTGGCAGCTGAGCTAACTGCCATTAGCATCTTCTAAAACGTACACTCCCATGGGATTTTAGTCATTTCTGCTGCTACCATTGGACTAACAGGATCCAGTTTGCTCTTTTTTCTGTTTGTAGTCCCCAGTTGGTTTGGTTTCAATTCAAGTCAATCATTAGGTAATCAGAATAAACCACGCAACTCTCTCTAAAAAATTGTATTGGTGCAGCGTTTCATTTGTATTGTCCAAACAGGGTTTTACATTTTACATTCTGTAAAATTACGTTTTCTACTTTTACTTAATTCACAAATGATTGGCCCATTTAAACAAGCCTTTTGGTTGGCTCATTTATTCAGCTATATCTTATAGGAATTGTGTTCCAAACTAAGCTTTGAGTTCCAAAATCAAATTTGGATGAGGCGGAACAAAACCAAGAAACTAGTTGCATTATTAATTGGTACTTAGAACAACTGTGAAAACAAGAGCCATATAAAGACATGTATTGTCCTTTTCTTTATGATTGTGTATATTGCTATTCCTTTATCATTTAACCCTGATGCTAATGGAGTGCGAGGACCTGTTCATTGTTGCGGGCAGCTTTCAAATTAATATTAT